TCTCTGTTTACGTCTGTGTTTACGCCTCTGTGTTTACGTCTCTGTGTTTACGTCTGTGTTTACGTCTCTGTGTTTACGTCTCTGTGTTTACGTTTCTGTGTTTACGTCTCTGTGTTTACCTCTCTGTGTTTACGTTTGTGTTTACGCCTCTGTGTTTACCCCTCTGTGTTTACGTCTGTGTTTACGTCTCTGTGTTTACCTCTTTGTGTTTACGTCTGTGTTTACGTCTCTGTGTTTACGTCTCTGTGTTTACGTTTCTGTGTTTACGTCTCTGTGTTTACGTCTCTGTGTTTACCCCTCTGTGTTTACGTCTGTGTTTACGTCTCTGTATTTACGTCTGTGTTTACGTCTCTCTGTTTACGTCTGTGTTTATGTCTCTGTGTTGACGTCTCAGTGTTTATGTCTGTGCTTACGTCTCTGTGTTTACGTTTCTGAGTTTACGTTTCTGTGTTTACATCTGTGTTTACGTCTCTCTGTTTATATCTGTGTTTACGCCTCTGTGTTTACGTCTCTGTGTTTACGTTTCTGTGTTTACGTCTGTGTTTACGTCTCTGTGTTTTCGTTTCTGTGTTTACGTCTGTGTGTTTACATCTGTGTTTACGTCTCTGTGTTTACGTCTGTGTTTAAGTCTGTGTGTTTACATCTGTGTTTACGTCTCTGTGTTTACGTCTGTGTTTAAGTCTTTGTGTTTACGTCTCTGTGTTTACGCCTGTGTTACGTCTCTGTGTTTACGTGTCTGTGTTTACGTCTCTGTGTTTACGTCTGTGTTACGTCTCTGTGTTTACGTCTCTGTGTTTATGTTTCTGTCTTTACGTCTCTGTCTTTAGGTTAGTGTTTACGACTGTGTTAATGTCTCTGTGTTTACATCTGTGTTTACGTTTCTGTTTACGTCTCTGTGTGTACGTCTGTATTTACGTCTCTGTGTTCATGTTCAGGATGAATTATACGTTTTTTTAATATAATAACTTTATCAATCCTCTGACTCCTCTAGCGCCATCATCAGGTCGAGTCCAATACCTGCAGAACTAGAGACATTCCCATCAGCATTCCCATTTGTTAGCATACTAACTAAGATGGTGAACATTACACAGGCTTATCACCAGAGGGGTATTGCACAAAACCAGGATAAGGGATTAAGCCGGGATATGTTGGTTATCCTGGCTTAATTTAGCCTCAAGTCGGTTGCATGAAAGCAGGTTAAACTTATCCCGGCCAAGTTACTATGGTGATTTATTCTCTGCAGTTAGCCTGCTCCAGACCAGGCTAACAGCCAGGCTAACATTAATCCTAATGATTCACCTGTATTTCCACCGTCAGTCCTGTGAGGAATTAATGTGTTTTACAGCATGTCCATGGTCTTTCTAAGTATGTTGCATCATTTTAATTATCCTGCATTAAAATATTACATATATATATTGTCATTTCTCATTTCATTTAAATCTGTTGGCTGTTTGTAATTGCAACAGTCTTTTTATATTGATTCAAGTGGTAGTATTATTACTCAGGACAAGTGTTGTATTGCTATGCTAATGAAGACTGCTTGTCAAACTGCAGTAAGAGGTTTCATAAATATGTGTTTATTGCAGTAATTGAGATTACAAAACACAGCTGATGAAGTTGCAAAGCTGTTTTCAATGAAATCTGTGACGAGGACAATATAGTATATATAGGTCTAACTCCCATTCATCTGTTCCCTCTTCATAATGGCTTGCCCTTTCTTGGAGGATGTACTGGATGAGGAAGCCCTAATCCTCAGACGAGCATTTAGTCATGAAAGAGTCTTCTGGGACAGGTCAGACCCATTGGCTGTTGGAGATGACCATCTCATTGAGAGATACAGATTCAATGTAACACAGATGGTCTGTGTTACATTGAGATGGTTTGCTTTATTCTGTTGGGGATGCAGAGAACCTCAATAAAGGAACCATTTGCCGCACAATAAGACGTGTTTGTATGGCACTGAAGTCATTCAGCAACATATTCATCACCTTCCCTGGCCACAGAAGACCCCTCTACATCAAGGAGGAGTTTTACAAGATTGCAGGTAACCTCAATTTAAACATGCAACCATTAGTTTCTAATTTGATCAGTCAGTTGGATACTCACTATTTTTTGTTACAGCTTTCCCTAACATCATTGGTGCAGTGGATTGCACACACATCAGGATCAAACGCCCCTCAGGAGAACATGAGGGAGATTATGTTAACAGGAAATCCTTCCACAGCATCAATGTTCAGGTAAGAGTGATTTGTGCTTACTATGACCTGCATAAATTAATTCTGTCCATTAAATGACCTTAATAGGTTACAACTTAACATTTCAGATGATATGTGATGCTGACTGCCTTGTCAGCAATTTAGAGGCAAAGTGGCCTGGCTCAGTGCATGACTCTGCATGTGCATGAGTCTTTCGGGCTAGTCCAATTTACGAGAGACTTTCACAAGGTAAGCCACACATTTTATTTGTACTGTAAGCACCTTGGACATCATGTGTGTTTAACTCTGCCGTGTAGTTTTCTAAATGATATCTTGTATTATCAGGCAAATTCTCTGGTGTGCTGCTGGGAGACAAAGGCTACGCCTGCGAGTCATTCCTCTTGACTCCCCTTGCGGACCCCCAAACCCCACCACAGCAGGCCTACAACCACGCACACAATAAGACAAGGGCTCGAATCGAGATGACCTTCGGCCTTCTGAAATCTCGGTTTCAGTGCCTGCACCACCTGAGAGTTTCCCCGGACAGGGCCTGTGATGTCATTGCTGCATGCGCAGTACTGCATAACATTGCAGGCCTGAGAAAGGAGAGGCCCCCCCGAGTGGCTGTTCATGTTGACTGGGAAAATGCTCCCATCTTCCCAGACAACATTAATGGCAGACTTGTCAGGGAGCAATATATTGCACATTTCTTCTCTTAATTTTTGGATTTAGCCTCTTTAGCATTGGTGGTTCTTTTAAATTCTACTTCACATTCATGAAAAAGGGAGGACACCACAATGTTTTCTAGTTGAATTTTTATTTGGCAGCCCTCATTTGCCTTGGTTGCTTGGATCCTGGAATAGAGAGAACAAAACCAACAAAGATTAAAACACTGTATTGCAGTTATGGTTACTGTGTGCACTGAAATACTCACTTCTCTTTCTAGTTTCTGGATTTCCAGGTCCAGTTTCCTGAGTGTCCGGCGTTTAATTTCAAGATCCAGCTCCATTTCTTGGAGCTTTCTCTTCTTCAGTTTTATTTTAACGTCTGCCAGCTCTATCTGTCTCTCCAGGTGCTTCGCATAAAGCCTTCTGACAGTTTGTGAAGTCTATAAAAGAAATGTCAAATAAGCAAAGCAGGATTTGTGCATAATATAGATTTACTTTGGCCAATACTCACAATGTTACCAGGCTACTTAGGAGACTGCATCATCTGTGTCCTGTTACACATATTTTCTATTAGCACCACATCACTGACTTCATATCCTTTATGGACAAGCAGGATATTTCCATAAAATTGACATACCTCAAGCCTTCTGGAGTCCAGTGACACAGTCTCCTCATCTGCAGAAGTGCATTCTGCAGCTGCAGATGTGCCTTCCCCCTGCCATATACATACATGTATGAGAACTTGAATTAAGATTTCACAGGACATACCAAGCCTGTGATTTCAATACAATGTACTAACCGGATCATCTTCTGGTGGCTCCAAAAGTGTAAGCGTGTTCCCAGACACTGCAAGGAAATCTAAAGTCAGACAGTATAATATATTTATTTGATTGTGTTCCATGTGCAGTAGCACTGCAATATGTACCTTGTATGAAGCAGACAGTTTCTGTGGCTGGGACAGTCTGTTACTGTCCCTCCATGGATTCCCTCCATCACTGGCCTCCCTTTATTTAAATGGAGTGCCAGCTCCTCCGCTGGGGTCATATCCTGGCTTGGTGGGCCGCCCCCTGTGCCAGTTCTATGGGCTTTTTTTAAACTGCTACAATCATACAGACATTCAACATGTCAGCAGACACCTAATCTATTCACCTCATTTGTTCACTGTTATCTACTTTAGAGTCACTGACCAGCCTGCAAAATGTTCTTGTATTTAACTTTAACTTGCTTCCAGGTCCTTTTATGGCCAGACAAGTTGGTTCTTTATGAAGGATAGAAAGATAAAATAGATAAAAATAGATTAAATGACACACATTGTGGATAATTGTTTGCACTTAATCATACTCTACATTTAAGTAACATGAACCTCTACTTGCCACATTTAAAGCAAAGTGTACAACAGTTGATTAGTGGACTTAAAGTAACTCCTTTAGTCCTTTAATTGGAGCCTAATGATGACAGTTCCAGTGGAGCACTGTTTATTCATTGTACAGTTTTGGACTACTTAAGCATTAAGCCGGTCCGCTATTGTCTGCCAGGCTTTCTCTCTTTCTTTAATTATGGCATTGGTATTGCCTTTGTTTCTTCTATCTTCCACCTCTTCATAGAACTCCATCAGGAGCTGTTGTTCAGCGACTCTTATCCATGTTCCCATCGGTGATTCTGTGAGCGATCGCGAGGTCTATTTCAGTATGCCGTGAACACGCACTTATCCCGACTATCTACACCTGGCTTAACATAGCCGCACCTTTTAATCCTGGCTCAGCAAACGTGCAACCGATTAAACCAGGATGCACCGAGCAGGCTAGGTCAAACTGCGCTTGCTCAATTATCCTGGATTTCTTTATCCTACTTTTGTGCAGTACCCCTCAGGATGTTAGCTTTGTCTTTGTGACTGACTGAGCAACATTAGCATCCAGAGCTAAACTGCTAGCGCTAATAAATCACAGCACAGGGACACATCAGTCCAATTCCCAAAACTTTTATTTCTTCCTTTTATGGCATGAAGTCTGGACCAACCTGACAAGGTCAAAGGTCAGACTGATAGAGGTGGTTTCAGATCTGAAGCTGCTGGCTTGCTCAGTGGTTCGGGGCAGCGTTGCTCATCTTCAACCAGCAACCTGCAGTAAAGACTAGTCAGTGAGAGCTGCAGCACCAGGATTTATTCAGACGGATTATTTACATCTCATTAAAACATCATCAGAAAGTACAAACAGCAGTGAGGAGGGACGGTGCGTTCAGGGACCAGCAGATAAAACATCCTCCTGACTCTTCACTCCATCACTGTCGAACTCACAAACACAAAGTGCTGATAAAGAATCAACACCACAGAGTTTACCTGAAGGTACAGGCTGTTCACAGAAGTACAGGGGATCATTTTAGCCAGAAAAATAAATAGATTAAAGATGTGTAACATTGGGCACCCGGTTAGCTCAGTGGGTAGAGCTGGCATCCCACGTACCGAGGCTGAGTCCATGCTGCAGCGGCCCAGGGTTCGAACCTGACCTGTGGCCCCTTGCTGCGTATCATCCCCTCTCTCTGTCTTCAGCTGTCATTATCATATAAAGACATGAAAATACTTTAAAATAAAAATTTGTGTAACCTTAAAAAGGAAGAAAAGGCCAAAATTAGTAATTGATAAAATTTATAAAATCAAACAGAAAATTTAAACAAAAAACGGCTGAAATTTTGATTTAACAAGTAAATAATTAAAAATAAAATGACTCCTGAAGAAAGAACAACTTATAATCAAAATGTAAAATCTTAAATGCTTCTTTCTTGTGTTTTCAGTTTCTGTGAAACATTTTAAGGTTTAAAGTTTAATTCCATTTTGACTTTTATTGTTTTCTTTTTGCATTTAAGCAGTTTTATTACTTTTAATGTTGAAAAAAATACAAACTTGTAATTCATGTGGACAGAATTAAATGTGTTATTCACAATGTAGGAAAATAATTCAATTAATTAAATTTATTTTAACGGTTTCTCTTTATTTGCAGTCTAATTAAACTCAGCAGCAGTAAAATAATAATTTTTTTATTTTATTTCTGGGTTGTCCTCCAAAGAAAAACAGATTTTTCATTCAAAATGTTAAAATAAACCTTAAAGACGTCACATTCATCTGTTTAAAATAAAAAACATTTAATTTCACGCTCCTTGAAAACATCACTATGACATCACACCATCAGCACGTGTAACACGTGACATCACAGAGTGACTCCTGATAATAAAAAAACACTTTTAATACTTTACACTTTTGCTCCTGAACAAACTTTAACAGAGTCTGAAAGACCTGGAAAACCTGGAGAGGTTTGAAATCAATAATAATGAATTCAAGGCTGAAAGGTTTAAATGTAACAAACTGCTGCTGCTCAGAGTTTATCGTTTCTTTTTACACAGTAAAATGTCTTCTCACATATTCGATCAATAATAACCAAAGTGATCGTTGTGTATCAGCTGATCTGTTATCAGCTATTTTAAATGCCCCAATATTGATTTCAGTTTGTGACTCTGAAATCCAGAATTAGAGTTTTTTATAGAAAAATAAAGCAAAAACAAAAATCTACAACAACCATTAATCAATCATTAATCAATCATTAATATATTTGTAAAAATCTAAACTTTTATGTGGTCAGACTCTGTTACAGTTTGTGTCTGCAGTCGCCACAGGGGGGCGCCAAGACACACGGATCAATAATACCTTCAATCAATCAACCAACCAATCAACCACCCAATCAATCAATCAATCAACCACCCAATCAATCAATCAGTGTGTAGAGATCCATTCATGAGGATGGGGTTTCACAGTTGAGATACACACACACACACACACACACACACACACACACACACACACACACACACACACACACACACGGAGGAGGCGGGCCCTGCGAGGACAGGTGAGTCTGTCAGCAGGTCAAACATTTGGCACAAAGTGAACACAGCAGAACCAGTCTGACCCAGTGCACCTGGTCCAGTGCACCTGGTCCAGACCAGCAGGTTGGTTCCAGGATCCAGTTTTAGTAAAAATAAATAAATGCAGATCTCAGAGTCCGGTCCAGGTTTAAAACCAGTTCTTTAAATACAACAAATCCAGACCAGGTTCCACATCTGAGCCACTAAAATCCAAAATGTAAATGAGACGGAGAGTAGTAAGGTCCAGGTCCTGGTGCTGTTAGTGGGCACCTTTAACCTTTAACCTCCTACAACTCAGAACCAGAGGGACAAACCGGTCTGGTCCTTTATAAACCGGTCTGGTCCGGGTAGAACCGGGTTGAACCGGGTAGAACCGGGTCAGACGTGGAGACGGGAGTGTCGCAGTTTCCACCTCCTGGATCGGACTTTGAAGAAGAAGAAGAGGAGCATGAGGAAGAGGCAGGAGCAGACGTACAGGACCACACAGAGACTCATGTCCACGCTGTTAAAGCCCAGACCCAGAATCCAAACCCCTCCTCCCCCACCTCCTCCCCCCAGACCCACAGCCTCCTCCCTCTCCTCCCTCTCCTCCCCCTCAGAACCTGGAGTCCGGGTTGAGCTTTCTTCTCCGGCTCCTTCCTCTCTTCTCCTCCTCCTCCTCGTTGCTCCTCTTGAGGCCGGCTGGTCTGCACAGGGACGAGATCAGGATCAGGAGGAGGGAGTCGTGGGGGAGTCAGGGAGTATTTGGGGGACAGGTTGGAGGCTCCGTAGTGTTGTCGCAGGAAGTGGAGGACGTTGTCTTGGTTCCAGACGTGGACGCCGTTTTTCTCCTCGTGGCAGGAGGAGCAGAGGGAGGGGCTCGGCCACGGAGCTTTAGGGAAGAGTGGGTCATCACTCAGGGAGCCTGGGGGAAGAAGGAGAGGAGGGGGAGGAACAGGGAGGAGGAACAGGGAGGAGGTGATATACATTTACTTTACTATGAGCTAAGTTAGCATAGCCCTGATCAACCAAACTCTATTCAGAAAACAACCATTTTAACAGCTAACAGCTGTGTGTGTGTGTGTGTGTGTGTGTGTGTGTGTGTGTGTGTGTGTGTGTGTGTGTGTGTGTGTGTGTGTGTGTGTGTGTGTGTGTGTGTGTGTGTGTGTGTGTGTGTGTGTGTGTGTGTGTGTGTGTGTGTGTGTGTGTGTGTGTGTGTGTGTGTGTGTGTGTGTGTGTGTGTGTCTGTGTGTGTGTGTGTGTGTGTGTGTGTGTGTGTGTGTCTGTGTGTGTGTCTGTGTGTGTGTGTGTGTGTGTGTGTGTGTGTGTGTGTGTGTGTGTGTGTGTCTGTGTGTGTGTGTGTGTGTGTGTGTGTGTGTGTGTGTGTGTGTGTGTGTGTGTGTGTGTGTGTGTGTGTGTGTGTGTGTGTGTGTGTGTGTGTGTGTGTGTCTGTGTGTGTGTGTGTGTGTGTGTGTGTCTGTGTGTGTGTGTGTGTGTGTGTGTTGTGTGTGTGTGTGTGTCTGTGTGTGTGTGTGTGTGTGTCTGTGTGTGTGTGTGTGTGTGTGTGTGTGTGTGTGTGTGTGTGTGTGTGTGTGTGTGTGTGTGTGTGTGTGTGTGTGTGTGTGTGTGTGTGTGTGTGTGTGTGTGTGTGTGTGTGTGTGTGTGTGTGTACCAGCCAGTCTGTAGTTGACCCTGTTGTGTTGGTTCCACAGCCACAGGATCTGGTCCTCTCGGTTCTGGACTCGGTCCAGAGTGGCGGACGCCGCCTGTTCGAAGTGTCGGCCACACTGCTCGCAGCCGAAGAACGTCCTGATGTACCGACGCATCACCTGCAGCACCGGGGCGGCCTCGCCCTCCAGACCTGCACGAGACATCACACACAGGTAGACCTTCAGTCTGCTGGTCTCAGGTGGTCCAGGAAGTGTGTGTGTGTGTGTGTGTGTGTGTGTGTGTGTGTGTGTGTGTGTACCTGTGTTTTCCAGTGCGGTTGGTGTGGCATCATGTTGGACGGTGAGGACGTGGAACAGAGTCCAGAGGGAACATGGGTAACCTCGAAGCCCCGTCCTGCTCCCCTGGCAACCAACCCAGCGAAGCTCCGCCCCCAGGAACACACCTGAGATCTGGACAGGAAACAGGAAGTCAGCTACTGCTGTGTGTGTGTGTGTGTATGTGTGTGTGTGTGTGTGTGTGTGTGTGTGTGTGTGTCTCACCCTCATCTTGTTGTCCACCAGGTCCAGGACTGCCTGGTAGGGGATTCGCTGCAGCGGCAGACTAAGCAGCCAATCAGAGAGAGTCTCCATCAGCTTCACCACGGAGCCCCCACCTGGATACAGCTGCACAGACAGACAGGTAGAGAGACAGAGAGACAGGTAGAGAGACAGAGAGACAGGTAGAGAGACTAAGTGAATCGAGCAGGAAGTTCTTTATTCCTCATATCGGCCATTTTGCATTAGAATTCATTATAAACACTATGTGACCTCTGCAGGCTTTATAGTAGCTGTATACAGCTGGAACCAGAGGCAGACAGAACCAGAGACACACGGACTCTAACGTGGTCACTACAGTACTGTCGTTACCTTGGCAACCAAAGTGACAAAGTCCTTAAAGATCTTCAGCTCCTCCCCCTCCAGGGTATTATGGGTAGCCAGCTCGACCCTCAGCAGGTAGTGCAGGGCCGACTCCAGATCAGCTGTGTACACCTTCCACCTGCAGAGAGACACGACCTGGTTTACTGACGGGTCAACGAGCCGGTCTACGAGCCGGTCTACGAGCCGATCTGATCCCGCCTCCCTCACCTGTGGAAGTCCCTCCAGGGCTCTGTGCTCTGGCGGTCTGGCAGCGCCCCCGTCTGTCCTCCACTGGAACTGCTGCTGATGGACTTGGACCGGCGCTGGACTCCCGGCAGCGTCCTCAACAGGGAGGAGAAGAAGAAACGCAACTTCTTCTCCCTGAAGAAGAAAAATAGTATTTACATATTTATTGATTAATTTTATTTGTACCATACAAACAGTTTGTATTCTAATCAATAAATACATTTATATTAATTAGGGCTGTCAAAATTAATGTGTTAACGCGTGATGATTAATTTCTGGAATTAACAGCGCTAATTTTTTTAACGCATTCCCGCCTTGTTTTACCCACAATTCAACCCCGCAGCGTTCATTCCTTGTCGCGTAAACAGCATGGCTGACACGAGCGACAGATTCAGAGTCAGATGAAGAGATGCAACCTGACAGAGACATACACAGGTACGGAGCAGAGCCAAGCATAAGTATGGAGGACTGCCCCATGCAGTGGTGGGCTGCTCCTTCAGGAGCACATGACAAGCTCAAGATTCAAGATTCAAGATTCAAGAACTTTATTTGCCGTTTGTGCTTGCACACATAAGAACTCTTGTGCGGTTGTTTGTTCAGAGAGTCAAGTAAAGTTAAAAAGACACACAGAAAGACACATAAATCTATAAAACATATACTCTAGAGATAAAAAGAAAGTGCATAAAATCCTATATAAAAGGGAAACTGAAAGCATTGTAAATTGGACAGGTATATTGCACAGGCCAAGGAGACAATATAATATAATATGATATGCTATGAGGTAGGTCAGGACATCAGTTCATTTTGTTTTGGCCAAGAGTCTCCCTGCTTGCCCGCAAATATCTAGTGACTCCTGTATCCACGGTTCCATGCGAACGACTCTTCTCAGTCGCAGGCCATATTGTTCAGAAGAAACGGTCCGCTTTACATTCAGAAAATGTTAGTTTGCCTTAGCAACTGGCTAAAAGATGAATAAATAAAAGGTAAAAGGGCCACATGTAATTGTGTGAAAGTGGAGTTGTTTGTTCAAAAAGAAAAACATTCCATTCACCTATCCTGTATTTGCTAAAAAAAGAGAGCAATGGCTAACTTGCCAAAATTGTTTAGAATTAAATTATTTTTTTGGATTTGTCATTAATAAAAAACAAATGTAATATAGACCGATCTCTAACCTCCCCTTCCTCTCTAAGATTCTGGAGAAAGTAGTCGCCAAAGAGTTGTGTGACTTTCTACATAACAATAGTTTATTTGAGGATTTTCAGTTAGGATTTAGAGTTCATCATAGCACAGAGACAGCTCTGGTTAAAGTTAATAATGACCTTCTGATTACTTCTGACAATGGACTTGTCTCTGTACTTGTATTATTAGATCTTAGTGCTGCATTTGACACCATTGACCATGATATTCTTTTACAGAGACTGGAGCATCAAATTGGCATTAAAGGAACCGTACTAAGCTGGTTTAAGTCATATTTATCAGATCGTTCGCCGTTTGTACATGTTAACGATGAATCTTCAATAAATACTACAGTTAGTCATGGCGTTCCACAAGGTTCTGTACTTGGACCAATACTATTTACTTTATATATGCTCCCTTTAGGCAACAATATTAGGAATCACTCCATTAACTTTCACTGTTATGCAGATGATACGCAGTTATATCTATCGATCAAGCCCGATGAAATTAATCAATTATCTAAATTACAAACATGTCTTAAGGACATAAAATCCTGGATGACCTGCAATTTTCTGATGTTAAACTCAGAAAAAAATGAAATTCTTGTTCTTGGCCCCAAAAACCTTAGAGACTCACTGTCTAAAGATATAGTTACTCTAGATGGCATTACCTTGGCCTCTAGCACCACTGTCAGGAATCTTGGAGTTATCTTTGATCAGGATTTGTCTTTTAACTCCCACATAAAGCAGACCTCTAGGACCGCCTTCTTTCATTTAGGTAATATTAAAAAATTAGACACATCCTATCACAGACAGATGCAGAAAAACTAATCCATGCATTTGTTACTTCAAGGCTGGATTACTGCAACTCTTTATTATCAGGTTGCCCCAATAAGTCCATTAAAACGCTCCAATTAATTCAGAACGCTGCAGCACGAGTACTGACAGGAACTAGAAAAAGAGATCACATCTCTCCTGTACTAGCTTCTCTGCATTGGCTCCCTGTAAAATGTAGAATAGAATTTAAAATCCTCCTCCTCACCTATAAAGCTCTTCATGGTCAGGCCCCTTCATATCTTAAAGAGCTCATAGTACTCTATTACCCCACTAGAACACTACGTTCTCTGAATGCTGGGCTACTTGTGGTTCCTATAGTCTCTAAAAGTAGAACAGGAGCCAGAGCCTTCAGTTACCAAGCTCCTCTCCTGTGGAACCAGCTTCCAGTTGTGGTTCTGGAGGCAGACACCCTCACCACATTCAAGAGTAGGCTTAAGACATTCCTCTTTGATAAAGCTTATAGTTAGGGCTGGATCAGGTGAGTCCTGAACCATCCCTTAGTTATGCTGCTATAGGCCTAGTATATCGGGGGATTTCCCATGGTGCACTGAGCTCCTCTCTTCCTCTCTCTTTCTGCACTCATTCATGTTCCATTAATGCATGTTACTAACTTCACTTCTTCCCCGGAGTTCTTGTACTTTCTCGCAGGTTCTCATGGATCCTGGTGGAGCCTCCTGCCATGGTCCTGCTTGACTGCCATTGCCAATATCACTGATATTAGTGTTATTATTATTATAAGTATTATTATTGCTACGGTTAGGGTTAGTTGTTGTTGCTGTTGTCATGTTCATCATCATCAGTCACTACTATTAGTGTAGTTGTTGCTACTGTTGTTGCTGTGCACCTGTCTGTCTGTCTGTCTGTCTCTCTCTCTCTCTCTCTCACCCCAACTGGTCGAGACAGACGACCACCCACCTAGAGCCGGAGGATCTGTCCTAGGTTTCTGCCTTTTAACAGGCAGTTTTTCCTTGCCCTTGTCTCCAAGGTCTTGCTCATGGTGGTACTGAGTCTCTCTCTCTCTCTATTTGAAAAGTGTCCTGAGATAACTTCTGTTATGAATCGGCGCTATACAAATAAAATTGAATTGAATTGAATATCCGCTCCTTGTCATTTATCTTTCTGTTCTGAGAACAGTACACAGAAAATGTGAATTTTTCAGTCATATTTAGGATTGTGATTAATCGAAATTAATTCAAGAAACCTTGTGATAAATTAGATTAAAATGTTTAATCATTTGACAGCCCTAATATTAATTAATGATATTATCTGGATTATGTCATTGTTTCTGTGTGTGTGTGTGTGTGTGTGTGTGTGTGTGTGTGTGTTCACTCACACGTGCAGGTGTGTGTGTGATGCGTTCGGGTGCAGCAGGTAGACGGAGGGGAAGGTTGTGATCTTCAGAGCGTCCAGCAGGGGGAGATCAGAGCTCAGAGCTCTCTTCACCTCCACACCGGAGTACTGCAGCAGGTCCAGGATCACCTGACAGACAGACAGACAGACAGACAGACAGACAGACAGACAGACAGGCAGGCAGACAGGCAGGCAGTTAGAGGATCTGCTTTTCAGTCCCAGTTGAACTTCTTCAGTCTGTATCTCCGTCCTACCTCTCGTCCTACGTAGGAGTCTGGTTCCTCTACGATGATGGCGGTGTAGTGATCTGATCTTTGACCCAACAGAGGGAGCAGCTCCACAGAGCTACAGACAGACAGACGGACAGACACACAGACAGACAGACAGACAGAAAGGCGGTCATTATTGATCAATCTGTTTAAGCAATAATAATTAATAATTAAAGCTGCAAGCAGCGTTGGGCGGGACCTCGCACTCCACGCAACTCAGGGCGTGCTGCAGCCGCATCACATGCCGTTGTAACACGTGCGGACAACAACATGAACATTTTACGTAAAACAGCACAGAATTGCCATGCAGCGCTTACTTCCTGTTGCCAGTAGGTGGCGCACTCACTACATCTGAATATTATCATGTAGACGTGTTCAGGGCCGGACTGTTATGAAACATGTCAAGTTTCAAAATGGCCGACTTCCTGTGGGGTTTCGGGTATGGGTCCATGGGTATGGGTTTTGGTATGTGAGCTCCAGGCACCACTCTGCACGTGACCTGTGAATTTCATATTCATAACTATTACGGTCTCCGCACAGTGATTTACAGTGAAGCATCCTACCAAGTTTCATTCTAATCACACGTGCCGTTGCAGAGATATAAACTTCTTCATTTTAAAGAGCGCCACCTAGTGGTGATGGCCTGAAATTGTGTACGGTGCCTAAGGAAGACATGAGGAACTATGGACCCAAGTTTGGTGTCAATCGGCATACCAATGTTGAGAAATGGTCCTCTTCCTTTTTGACGAAAAATCTACAGGAAGTGTTAAAATTTCAAAAATGTTCGAATTAATTTTTTTGCCATGGCGGTCCCCAGGTGCTAGGTGAAAAATGTCATACGAATCGGACAAAGCGTGCAGGGGGACCACAAAAGAGTAGTTTAAGGACATTTTGCGCTCTAACGGAAAAAAATTATAGGCGGAAGTGGGCGGGGCCTATATGGAGAGATTCAGCTTTATTCACCGAACGCGTGGATATAAGGTTTATGAATGTGCAACAAACTATGGAGAAGTTATTAGCCTAAACGCACTTTTTATGATAATGGCGCCAACTAGTGGCCGACCTGAAAGTGACAAATAGAATATAACATTTTTCACCAGGCCTGACAACTCTGCCAAATAAAATTGAGTTTTCGTATATGTTCAGGGGGGGAAAACGCAGTCGAAGTGGCCTAAAAATAATAATACGTAAGAAATCGAGCAAAAACAATAGGGACTTCCAGCGGTCGCTGGCTTGGTCCCTAAATATAAATAAAGCTGAACTCAGGTAACTGATCCCAGAGTTCCTCTGTAGGTCTTATTGATGCATTGAGGAAACAGCGGTACGATCAGCGATCAATAACACTTCAATAAGGAGAAACTGTATCAGACTATTGATTCAGAGGTTTCAGTCTTATAATCAATAATTCTCTAAATATATTTAATCTTCAAAAGTGTGTAATATGACAGCAAAGTGCTTGTTGTGTGTTTGGTATTTTTATTGAGAAATAACTGATTGATTGATTGATTGATACTTAAAGTCCCTGTTTGTGTTTTTCATTGATTTCAATGGGAATCATTGACTGTTTATAAAGGAGCTGCTGATTAATCAACTAATCGCTTAATCAGTATGTGAGAACCTCAGCAGCTCACAGTATGTTCTGAGGAGCTGTCTGGTTCTGATTGGTTCTAACTGGTTCTGATTGGTTCTAACTGGTTCTGACTGGTTCTGATTGGTTCTGATTGGTTCTAACTGGTTCTAACTGGTTCTGATTGGTTCTGATTGGTTCTGATGGGTTCTGATGGGTTCTGGTTGGTTCTGGTTGGTTCTGTCTGGTTCTGATTGGTTCTGATTGGTTCTGATTGGTTCTGATTGGTTCTGGTACCTGTGTGGTTCCAGTGGAGGACAGTGATCAGGCCAGTCCAGCTTGGTGTGGTTCTGCAGGATGTTCACCATCAACTGTCTCACTGACTGGATCTCCCTGTCTGCACCTGGAGATAGACAGACAGTTACAGAGGCAGACAGACAGTTACAGAGATAGACAGACGGTTACAGAGACGGACAGACGGTTACAGAGACAGACAGACGGTTACAGAGACAGAGAGACGGTTACAGAGACAGACAGACAGTGACAAAAACAGACAGTATAATTTGTCATGACAGGCAGTGTGAGACAGGTAATGTGAGACAGGCAGTGTGAGACAGGTAGTGTGAGTGTGTCTCACCTCTGTAGGTCGTCCCTCTGTCTGTCTCTGGACTGTGAGCTCTAAAATACTAAAGACAATAATAATAATAACAATAATAAAAATAATGTTACACTTTAACTCTGATACACATTAATACACAGTACAACTATATAGTGAACTATACCTCTCTCTAGTATATATATATATATATATATAATATATATATATAATATATAATATATTATATATATATATATTATATATATATAATATATAATATATATATATATATATAATATATAATATATTATATATATATATATATATATATATATATATATATATATATGTATAATATATAAGAAAAGCTTCAAAATGCAAAAAGAAGAAACAGCAAGAGACAAAAAATGAAATCGAATCGACAGTTTATTGGAAACTGAATTTAAAGTCAAACAGGCTGTTTATCACCTTAAAAAACCTAAAAACAGAACTAAACTCTACTTTCTATATTTAGCTAAGAGTTTATTGTTTATCTTATATTGTATTTTTTTATACCTCTTTTATTTTCTATACAAGTGTTTTGTAAGCTGCTGGAAATTCAATTTCCTTGAGGGAGTCATCCCAAAGGGATCAATAAAGAGAGGTCTAAAAATTCTCTCATCAGACAATAAAACTCTTTCAATGTCTCGTGTGTGGCGTGGGAGGAGGCGTGGCCTTTGAAGATGTTCTTCAGACGCTGTCTGATGGTTATCGGGCTGCAGTCAGCATCAGTAAGGGCCTTAGTTTGGGTCGAGGATCGGTCTGTGTCTTCACAGAAAGCCTGTTGGATCCTGCGGCTCATAGCAGGTGAAATTGTTTTGGATCCACTTAACTTTTTTGTCCCGTAACCTTCAGAACCTTTTAAGAAATATGAAATGACGTCTTACTGCTTCCAACCTCGGCAGCGATGGCGAGTTGTGAGAGGCCTTCACGTGTAACAATCCTGCTACGTTCAGAGACTTTACCATCAGGGGTTAATGACAGAATGTCTGAGAGACAATTACATTAAAGATTTCTGAAGAGATTTTAACTTTTTAAGGCGATAATATTAAACTGATCAGCTGATAATCAACCTGTTTGACTTTAAATTCAGTTTCCAACAAATTGCTGACTCAATATATACATACTTGGATATACTGTCAGGGCTCCAGACTAACTTTTTGCATTGGTTGCACCATGCATCATTCACATTATATGAAAGTTATGGAGAGCGATAAAAAGGTGACGTTAAAGGCGACGCAATTAAAAATTTGGTGCACCTACATTTTGTGCTGGTGCACCTAAAAAAAAAAAGTTAGATGCACCAGCACAAAATGTAGGTGCACCCACATTTTTAAACAAGGATAAGGTGTAGAGAAATGCTTGTCTTTATTTGAAGCACAATTATATATAAAAAGAAAAATAAAGTGTTTAAAGTGCTTCACTGAGCTGAAATTGAAACTAAATTTCAAACTAAAACACTAAGCAAAATAAAACATTTCCAAATTAAAGTTCGATACGAAACGTTGTTGACCCGCTCACGAATGCACTATTTCCATCCATATTCTGACAGCACTCCTGATAGTACACGCAGTGCATTACGTTACGTCCTTTGTTGAACCTCAGCCAGGGAACTTGTTTCAGCCAGTCCTGTCTGAAGGAATATATTTTGACCTTTTTAATTTGGGTCTCGGAGCCGGGCTCTATCCCAGACTCGGTTGTCTCCTCCTCTGGTTCCGAATCTGATGCTGTCGCCGAAGGACCGGGGCTCGGCAATTTTTAAACACACGCAACTTAGCGCGGTGAACAGGACCACAGCCAATCAGAGGCAAAGACCCGCCCGAGCTCTGTCTCTTATTGGTTTAGAACACGATATGATCTTACCATGAGTGTGTGAGTTCGCTCACAGGAGAACACAGAGAGATGATGCGCTTGCGAAATAAATGTATGTTTTCACCCGGGCAGCGTCAGGTGCACCAGTGCGACCTAGAAAAATTATTAGTCGCACTCTTAAAAATGTTGGTCGCACTCTGGAGCCCTGACTGTATATCTATAGTATATACAACTATATATATTATATCATTATATATATATATATATATATAAACTATATAAAGTGTGGAGACGTACTTTGAACGTTGGGTAGAACTTGATGCTGAACTCTTTACAGACGTCAAAGTTTTCCTCCTGAGCGCAATCCAACACTGCTACAGAGACAGCCTGCTGCCAGTCTGAGAGACAGACAGGGGGAGAGACAAACAGAGAGACAGACAGACATTAATAAAACCTTTTGATAAACAATCTGATGTATAATGTCTCAGTTTGTACATGTTAACGATGAATCTTCAATAAATACCACAGTTAGTCATGGAGTTCCACAAGGTTCTGTACTTGGACCAATACTATTTACTTTATGCTCCCTTTAGGCAACATTATTAGGAATCACTCCATTAACTTAAACTGTTATGCAGATGATACGCAGTTATATCTATCAATCAAGCCTGATGAAATTAATCAATTATCTAAATTACAAACATGTCTTAAGGACATAAAATCCTGGATGACCTGCAATTTTCTGATGTTAAACTCAGAAAAAAACGAAATTCTTGTACTTGGCCCCAAAAACCTTAGAGACTCACTGTCTAAAGATATAGTTACTCTAGATGGCATTACCTTGGCCTCTAGCACCACTGTCAGAAATCTTGGAGTTATCTTTGATCAGGATTTGTCATTTAACTCCCACATAAAGCAAACCTCTAGGACCGCCTTCTTTCATTTACGTAATATTAGAAAAAATTAGACACATACTATCACAGACAGATGCAGAAAAACTAATCCATGCATTTGTTACTTCAAGGCTGGATTACTGCAACTCTTTATTATCAGGTTGCCCCAATAAGTCCATTAAAACGCTCCAATTAATTCAGAACGCTGCAGCACGAGTACTGACAGGAACTAGAAAAAGAGATCACATCTCTCCTGTACTAGCTTCTCTGCATTGGCTCCCTATAAAATTTAGAATTGAATTTAAAATCCTCCTCCTCACCTATAAAGCTCTTCATGGTCAGGCCCCTTCATATCTTAAAGAGCTCATAGTACCCTATTACCCCACTAGAACACTACGTTCTCTGAATGCTGGGCTACTTGTGGTTCCTATAGTCTCCTAAAAGTAGAACAGGAGCCAGAGCCTTCAGTTACCAAGCTCCTCTCCTGTGGAACCAGCTTCCAGTTGTGGTTCGGGGGGCAGACACCCTCACCACATTCAAGAGTAGGCTTAAGACATTCCTCTTTGATAAAGCTTATAGTTAGGGCTGGATCAGGTGAGTCCTGAACCATCCCTTAGTTATGCTGCTATAGGCCTAGACTATCGGGGGATTTCCCATGGTGCACTGAGCTCGATCTCTCTCTCTCTCTCTCTCTCTCTCTCTCTCTCTCTCTCTCTCACCCCAACTGGTCGAGACAGACGACCACCCACCTAGAGCCGGAGGATCTGTCCTAGGTTTCTGCCTTTTAACAGGCAGTGTTTCCTTGCCCTTGTCTCCAAGGTCTTGCTCATGGTGGTACTGTTGGGTCTCTGTAAATAATGTTTTAAAGAGTTCGGTCTAGACCTGCTCTATTTGAAAAGTGTCCTGAGATAACTTCTGTTATGAATTGGTGCTATACAAATAAAATTGAACTTGATCTCAAACATTCAATAACAAATTTGATTGAAAACATTTTAATATGTTCATTAAGTTTATTAGTATTGATTAAGGAACAGCTGGTTGTCTTCAGTTGATATTAATAACTCTATTGATACTATTGATTATTGGTATTGTTGTTGATTTGCCTCACTGACTTCAAACCCTTCAGCACAGACAGACAGACAGACAGAGTAAACAATGAAGTAAAAGAAACACTGTCTGTCTGTCTGTCTGTCTGTCTCTCAGGATTCGGGGGGTTTTAGGGTCTTTGTCTCTCAGACGACCTTTGACTCCGACAGCAGGTCCACATATAGAGTGTGTATGTGTGTGTGTGTGTTAGAGGGGCAGCTGGTCTCCAGTTGAATCATTCCCCAGAGGGTTGGAGGCAGCAGACTGATTCCCACAGTGTGTGTGTTACTGTGTGTGTGTGTGTGTGTGTGTGTGTGTGTGTGTGTGTGTGTGTGTGTGTGTGTGTGTGTGTACTGTGTATGTGTGTGTGTGTTCGTGTGTGTGTGTGTGTGTGTGTGTGTGTGTGTGTGTGTGTTGTGTGTGTGTGTTACTGTGTGTGTGTGTTACTGTGTGTGTGTGTGTGTGTGTTACTGTGTGTGTGTGTGTGTGTGTTACTGTGTGTGTGTGTGTGTGTGTGTGTTACTGTGTGTGTGTGTGTGTGTGTGTGTGTGTGTGTGTGTGTGTCTTTGACTTTTTGTATAAGTTTATATATTTATTTATCATTTTCTCCATTAATCGATTATCTGTATCTTATTATTGATCATAAAGAAACTGAATTAGCTTCCTGCTAGGGTTCAATGGTAGCTATGCTAAGAGCCTCTAATGATGGCTGCTGGTTATTTTAATGAGGTCAAATAAAATCTCGTTTGACTTCCTGGAACAGCTTAATGAACTCAGGTGTCACCTGTCGGTTGCCTGGAAACATGAGCTCCTTCCTGGGTTACCTGTAAGAGCTAATGTGTGTGTGTGTGTGTGTGTGTGTGTGTGTGTGTGTGTGTGTGTGTGTGTGTGTGTGTGTGTGTGGGGCTGCCCAGAGGGACGGTGACGGGTCACAGGAACATAATATATAATAATATATAATAATATATAATAATATATAATGTGAGCTTCAGGTACTCCCCACAGTGAGAGTCAGTGCTGGACCGGAAGTCACATCTGTCTGTTAATAACACACATCTGTCTCCAGCTGCTTCCTCTGTTACTGAACACTCAGAGAATATAAATCTGTTTACAATGAGCTGCTTTAAACCAGAGAGACATTATTGGACGCAATCACTCCACCACTCAGAACTTCATTTAAAAATCTGCTACTTTTCACTCGCTTCCCGCAACTTAAACCTAGCAGCAGCTGCGGGAGTCACGCTGGATTTCACCGGGATCACCTGTTGATTTCTGGATTTTATTGCAGCCGAATGACAGAGAGGATGAAACAGAACCAGGAAACACAACAAGTGATACTTTAACATGTATCGTCTTTTTATCGATTAACCGGGAATGAAATAAATAGCATATTTTGAATGGAGTCTGGTGTTGTTGTTGACAAAGAGGAACCAAAGCGAGTGTTAGCTGCGGTACCTTTGACGTCCTGGGCCAGGGCCTTCCAGGTGCTGGAGTACTGGATGCAGTGTCCACACCAGGACGAGTAGAACTGGACCAACCAGGCCGAGGACGAGTTACTGACGGTGGGCTTCAGGCTGCTGCTGCTCAGGATCACCAGCGGGTCCTCCTCCGTGTACAGGCGGGCGGCGGTCCCCACACAGCCGGGGACGAGCCAGAGGACGACCGCGGCTTTCAACCAGCACCGGAGCATCGCTGCGGTCCGGGGAGAGGCACACCGAGAGCGGGCTGTCAGAGAGCCGGAGAGTCCGAGCCGAGGAGCAGCACCGGGAGCCGGGGAGACATGAGAGCAGCTGCTCGGCTAACGGCGACGTGTGTTTACCGCAGAGATCGGCGGGGACGACAGAGGGCTCACTCCGGTACCGGAACCGGAACCCAAAGAACTACAACGAGCTGAACACTAAATAAATCTATATTTATAACATCAGAACATAATCTGTGTCAGTTTATACACACACATAGTGATCAGTGCTGGTTGCTATGGTAACGGCACCCGTTTTAATTCTACAGGCTTTATTAGTGAAACATGTTTTTATAATAACAACATTAACACAACACAGCAGTTAATAATATATAATAATATAACAATAATAATATACACAGTGTGTCAGTAATGTCATCAAATCAGTTAAAACAAACAAACAAACAAACAAACAAACAAATGGGGATTGTACACAACCATATTCTACTTTGTTGTATATATTTAATATTTTATTGTATGTTATTATCCTACTACTACTGTAAAACTTCCAGGAAACATTCTTCACATGTTGGAAATATTCCTCTGAAATATTCCTGTGTGCAGTGTAGTTCAGTGTCAGTCTCAGTTTTAACCACAGAGTAAATCACGTGTTCAATAGACGATCTTTACTGAGCTGTTGCTGACGCGTGGTCTGACGTAACCACCGTGCTGCGTTCAAGGATCCTCGGAGCTCTCAGCGTGTTCAGATATATCTGATTGTTTTTGATCTTTCATAGTTTTCTATTTTGATTATTTATTATTGCAACACCTGAATTCACCTCTGAGGATCAATAAAGGGTCGTTTTATCTGATCACCACAGTTAAAGGTTTTAAATGAGATATTAAACATTATATTGTCTGTATACAGAGTCACATGACGGGTTTAATGGGTTTTATTTTGTTTATGTCCACTTGGATTAATTATTTGGAAGCAAACAATTCAGTACAAACAATAAACATCTATTTGGTTTTAATTTTTCTTTTAAGGAAATTCCTCTGGAATTAAAAATCAACTAATTAAAAATAAATAGAAACCTGTCTCTAGTTTCCATTTTTTATTTATTTGTCTGTTTTCCAGGAAACTTCAAGGAAATTATTGGGAAAATACGTAAATATATTGATCCACATAATATTTATTTTCCTGTTTAGTACTGATTCGTTTTGTTTCGGTACAGGAATGAATCCTTTCTGCAACCACGGTCAGTGAATGCAGCAGTGCTCTCTACTGCCCCTGCCGGCTGAGTGTGTCAGTGTTTCTGTTTGACTGTAAAAGCTTTATTAGCGCACCAATAACAACGAACTCAACAAACAGGCGGAAGTGACGTATGGCCCTTTATTTTGAAACTTCCGGTCGAACTGTTGTTTTCCTGCCGCAGTTTAACGTCAAAGTTCAGCGTCCTGTTTCCATAGCAACGGATCAGCTCGACACCGGAGGACACAGAAACCACAGGTGAGTTTCTACCTGCGGCTTTATCCGGATATTAACGACTCAATAACGTCACTGCGTATTATTCATTATTGTTGTTGTTGTTGTTGTTGTTGTTGTTGTTGGTAATATTATTTAAAAGCTGCTGCAGATTCTGTTCCAGAAGAAAAACTCACTGTAAACTGAAACACTTTATAAATAGATTGATTGATTGATTGATTGATAGATAGATAGATAGACAGATAGATAGACTGATTGATAGACTGATTGATAGACTGATTGATAGATAGACTGATTGATTGATAGATAGATAGATAGACAGATAGATAGATAGATAGATAGATAGATAGATAGATAGACAGATAGATAGACTGATTGATTGATTGATTGATAGATAGACTGATTGATAGATAGACTGATTGATTGATAGATAGATAGACAGATTGATAGATAGATAGACTAAACGTGGTTCAAGTCCCCTGTGATGACATAACGTTGTTGTTGTTGTTGTTGTTGTTGTTGTTGTGTGGTCCTTCCTGCTCTAACCGACCCTCATGGTCACATTAAATATTTAATATATAATCAATATGCTCCAAACACCATTACCCACAAACCAACAGGTCAAAGGTCAGTGACAGGTTCACTTCAGTCACAACTCAACGTCCTCTTACCAGCTTTCAGTCGTATCACATGGTCTTCATCATCATCTTCATCCTCACTGCATCCGATGAGCAGATGAAGAACAGGTGATACGACTGAAAGCTCCAGAGTAGAGAGTTTAGGCAGGAGAGCTCTTCATCAGCAGTCTTCATCTTCCTCAGCAGTCTTCATCTTCCTCAGCAGTCTTCATCTTCATCAGCAGTCTTCATCTTCCTCAGCAGTCTTCCTCAGCAGTCTTCATCTTCCTCAGCAGTCTTCATCTTCCTCAGCAGTCTTCCTCAGCAGTCTTCATCTTCCTCAGCAGTCTTCCTCAGCAGTGACGGCGGGAACATGTCGTCTCCCAGGGTGGGCGTGGTCAGAGACTCCATGTTGACCAATCCGCTCATCGTGAAGGTAAACACTCTCAGTTAAAACAAAAATTTTATTGTGAAGGAGCTGGAGGGCTTTTATTGTGAAGGAGCAGTTAATATTATAGGTAGTGTGACTGATGACATCACACAGTTTCTGTGACATCATAGAGCCTCAGACCGTAATTACGTCAGATGGCCACAGGAGGGCAGCACAGACTCTGTTATTGATTATTGGATTCATTATAGATTATTTATATTTATATATATTTATAGATTATAATATAGATATATTTATATATATAGATATATTTATAGATTTATATATTGATCACACACAGTAGCTGTGTGCTGATGTTGCGTTCAAGGACACTAAAAACAACATAAAAACTCACATCTCCCTATTCAGGGGTGGTGGCAAACAGTCCTCAAACGCACCACTGAGGAAGACTGTGATCTTCATCATCATGTTGGTTAAAAGAACTGAAGTCAGCGATGTTTAAGTCTTATAAAGGAAGTGAAACCAGAACAGAGTGATGAAGATGATGGTGATGATGATGATGATGATGATGATGAAGATGATGATGGTGATGATGAAGATGATGATGATGATGGTGATGGTGATGATGATGGTGATGATGGTGATGATGGTGGTGATGAAGATGATGGTGATGATGATGATGATGGAGATGATGATGGTGATGATGATGGTGATGATGAAGATGATGATGGTGATGATGGTGATGATGAAGATGATGATGGTGATGATGAAGATGATGATGATGGTGAAGATGATGATGATGGTGAAGATGTTGGTGATGATGAAGATGATGATGGTGATGATGATGGTGATGATGATGGTGATGATGGTGATGATGGTGGTGATGAAGATGATGATGGTGATGATGATGATGATGGAGATGATGATGGTGATGGTGATGATGGTGATGATGATGGTGATGAAGATGATGAAGATGATGATGATGATGGTGATGATGAAGATGATGATGGTGATGATGATGATGTTGGTGATGATGAAGATGATGATGGTGATGATGAAGATGATAATGATGGTGATGATGATGATGG